CGATGCTGCTGCCATGAGACCAAGCAGTTTCTGAAATTTCTTCAGTGGCGCGCTCGCGCAATCTGAAAGTGCCTGCGAGCGCTCGCACTGAGAGCGCGTGCTCTGGTGTGAGTCGCGCTGTCATAGCTCTCGAGTCTAAAACTGTGCCCAGAAAGATCACGCTCTGGCTGGGGGTTAGTTTGCTTTTTGAAACATTGATTGTGAAACCCAGGCATTTTAGATGGCCGAGAATCAAATCCCTGTGAGCTAATAGCTCGACTCTCGACTGTGCCAGCACCAGCCAGACGTTGAGATAATTTAACACGCGCACTCCCTGATGTCTCAGAGGAGAAAGTGCTGCATCCACACACTTCGTGAATGTGCGGGGTGCCAAAGATAGACCGAACGGCAGAACGGTGTATTGATAAGCCTGGCCCTCGAAGGCGAATCTCAAGAATGGCCTGTGACGAGGATTTATTTTAATGTGAAAGTAAGCATCTTTCAGATCCATTGTGACAAACCAATCCCCCGGGCGCACTTGCGCGAGGATATGTTTGATAGTTAACATTTTGAACGGCCGCCTCATGAGAGCTTTGTTCAAATGTCTCAAATCTAGAATGGGTCTGAGACCGCCGTCTTTTTTCGGAATCAGAAAATAGCGGCTGTAAAAACCCATATGTTTTAGAGCGGGGGGGGACTAATTCTATCGCCCCTTTTGCTAAAAGATTCTGTACTTCGATTGCGAAGCACGTGACCCACGTTGCTTCTCACCGAAGTCTCGAGAACCGCCTGAAATTATGGGGGTCTGCGAGCGAATTGGAGCGAGTAACCTCGCTTTATAGTGTTTATGACCCAACTCGACACACCGGGGATAGCTTGCCAGGCTAGAACCCGTGTGGCTAGGGCTTGACACACAGATTGGGGCTGGTCGCCTAATGCAGGGGGACCTGATACCCTTATATTGTGATTTTTGCACACATTGAGTATTGGACTGACTATACAAGCATTTGCGTGTGGGGAAGTCAGTGTTACCACAGGGGAGGGCCGCCTAGTGAAGGGGGACCTGATACCCTTATATTGTGATTTGTGCACACATTGAGTATTGGACTGACTGTACAAGCATTTGCGTGTGGGGAAGTCAGTGTTACAACAGGGGAGGGCCGCCTAGTGAAGGGGGACCTGACACCCTTATATTGTGATTTGTGCACACATTGAGTATTGGACTGACTGTACAAGCATTTGTGTGTGGGGAAGTCAGTATTACAACGGGTGAGGGGCCGCCTGATGAAGGGGGACCGTGGACCCATGTGTTGTGTTTGTGAAACATGCTCTTTTTGTGCTTTATTTGGGTCGCCGTGAAAACGGTGTTTGTTTGCAAGAACGCGCTTACTGTTGCGGGCCTGTTTGCAGTAATAAAATCCCCAGCCGCCTGAACTGAACAGGGGGCTGTGGGAAGTTTTCTTGGCTTCTTCGAGGCGAGTGCGGGACCCGTGCCCTCTCTCTTTCCTCTGCGTGCTAGGACGACTTTGGCGGCGCTGAGTGGGGCGCGGCGCTTGGTCTCGGGCCTTGGCGTCGGGGAAGTGGGAAGCGCTTGGTTGCTCTCGGCTGGCGCTGGGCATCAGCCGCAGGGCGGGGCTGAGAGGCCTGTTTCGCGGGTTTTGTTGGCCGAGGCGTCGACGGGGCTAGCTTGTGAGCACTCGACGCCGAGCTAGAGCGTTTAGGCAAGAAGTGACGCATGGCCTGGGACGCTTTCTGTGCCTCGGTGTATCTCTCCGAGAACCCCTTCACCGCCGGGCCGAAGAGGCCGGTGCTGGATACTGGGGCGTCGAGGAACCTCGTTCTCTCCGCGTCCTTAATGTCAGTGAGGGTAAGCCAGAGGTGGCGCTCGAGCACGACCAAACTCGCCATATTCCTCCCGATAGCCTGTGCTGTGGCCTTGGTAGCTCTCAAGGCCAAGTCCGTGGCGCTTCGCAGGTCCCGAAAGGCCTCAGGGTCCGGGCCAGCCTCGTCCATAGACCGGAGGAGTTTGGCCTGGTAAACCTGCAGCACGGACATCGTGTGCAGGGCCGATGCAGCCTGACCGGAGGCGGAATACGCGCGTCCAGCGAGGGCTGAAGTGCTACGGCACGGCTTGTTAGGATGAACAGCTCTAGTTCGCCAGCTAGCAGCTGTGTTCGGGCAGAGATGAGCGGCCAACGTCTCTTCGAGGGGCAGCAACGACTCATAGCCTTTTTCCGCTGGACGGAGCAGAGCGTCGCAGAAACTGCGGGGCCTCCTGTAGAATAAGGAGTGCGCCAGGCTTTGGTGAGCTCCTCGTGTACTTCAGGAAAAAATGGCGCCGGCTTGTGACGAGGGGCCTGTTGGTGCCCCGGCAGAAACCAGCCATCCAGCCGACTTCGAGCGGGTTCAGCGGGCGCGGCCCACTCGAGCTCGAGGTCCGCCACGGCCTGCGTCATGAGCGTCATGACCAGACGCTCATGTTCTGCTGCAGCTGCAAATGCGCTTTACATAAAGGCTTCAGTAAATCGAGGAAAAGGAGTTCCCCCCCCCCCCCCACTGCGTATAGCTACGCAGTACGAAGTGACTGTTCGAAAGGGAACCTAAGTTTGCTTCATGTGAAATTTGAATTAATGGGTTTTATTTTTTAAAAATTAGGTTACTTAATATGTCTTAAATACGCTGACTTCTTTAGGTCACACCAACAAAATGTCAGGGTTAGATGCATGTAACTGGCTTAACTTAATATGTTATTATTATTAAATAACTAGGCCTATACCCCTATAACATTCAGCCAGAGAGCAAAGGAATGAGATTATTTGTTTTGTATTGCTCTTTACCGTCTCCTCTCGAAACGCTGACACAGGCGCGTCATCCAACCCTCTGTCGTTCTTTAGAAAATTCAGGAAATTATCCATTTTTAAAAATAAAGTTTATAAACACAATGCAATGCGTAGGCTACTACGTATCCCGCACCGTAACAGATGGCCTGGTTGAATCTGCCGGCACAGACTGAGTGGGGGAGGGGACACAAATCCGTGAGTACAGTTTACAAACCCGTGGGAACGGATTGCGAAAGCGTGGGCACGTTTTATGAACTTGTGGGTACAGATTGCAAAAACTGAAGGCAAGCTTTACAAATCTGAGAGCGCGGATTAGAAACTCGTGGGTACGATTTGTTAAACCGAGGGAACAGTTTGAGAATTCGTGAGTACGGTTTATAAACGGAGCGGACGGATTGCAAAACCGTCGCCAGGGATTGTTTTTTTTTTCTCTCCCAGAGGTGACATCCTGGGCTCTGTATATTTGTGATTATTTTGCACAATACAAAGCAATTTTTAAAAATAAAACTAAATATTGTTTCAATGTCTTATTTAAATTATTTTATTATAATTACATGAAATGATTGGTGTCATTCTGCCGTGATTACTCTTCCAGGCTCACTATTGGCTGATTTAGAGGTTGAGAGCGGCCATTTTTGGGTTGACATCATTATTGTCCTTAGATCGCAACACTTAAAGGTGCAGTCTGTAAGAATGACAACTAGTGGTCGAAATCGGTACTGCAGTCCAATTCAAAATATCAGAGATCGTTGTCTCTCCCGCCTCCTCAGACTCAACGCTCACGCGGGTCGCCAGTTTGATCACGCAACAGGAACGAGCGTAATGAACAATGAAAACGGGCAAATTATCAACGTGCAGAATCACAGACCAAAACAAAAACAAACATTCCAGCCTGGAAACGCACATTTCAAAGTAAAATAACTGGCTGTGAACTTAGCATGTTTCCTCAATATATGCAGACATATTATGGTATTTTTATGCTTTAGTAGAGTGAAAAAGTTACATACAGCACATTTAACTGTCGCCTCAGTCAGCCTTAGACTTTGCTGTTTAGCATCTTTATAGATATATTCTACTCATAAACAAGTCTTACTTTTTACTAAGAATTTTTTTGATACTCCAGTCAAAGCTAAGCCTATTCTTAAGAGTATTTCTGAGAAGTTTTATGGCCCCAGATGTATTCAAATCATTCATCTTGCTGAATCAAATCAGGAGACAAATGAAACTAGCAGGATAAAGATCAACAAAAACTTTAATAATTAATTGCTGTATTGTATTAATTTTTGTTGTGATAATATTGTCTTTTGTACTCAGTGTTTGTTCTCAAAAAATGTACATCTTCAAAAGAAAAAGTGAAGTGTGGCTTCAAGTCAAGGAAGAAAACACTATTCAAACCATTTATATAAAAAGTCTACTTTAATGCAATTTAGTTTTTTACAAATGTTTACAGAGCAAGTTTTTAGAGGGTTTATGGTGATTACTGCAGAATAAACACATTGACAACATCAATAAGTGCATTACAGCACCGGCTCCCAACTCTGGTTCTGCAAACTGGCTATTAAGTCTGACATCACACTGCATCATTTCCGGGTCCAAACGCACCTTCAAATCCCAAAAGCAAACAACAAATGGTGCTAATATACACTCATGGTGTTCTGTAGTGCTACTGAAAAATCATGATCCTAGCCTTCCTCTCCATACCGAGATCTCAGATGTCCAGACAGTAGTTATTAACGCATTGCTGTCCGGGAGGCCGTGAGCCCAGAGGGGACAGGTCACAGGGGACGATTTTGTTGCTGATTTGAAATGTTCAAATGTGAATTTGGCTAGCAGTTTTTCAGATTTCAGGATTTTCCCATTCAAGTGGATATGAGTTGGTCTTGTTGCCCGAGGAGTTGCAAATATGGCAGCAGAGTGAACAGACTTTCCATGAAAGGGACCAGGATACAGTATTCAACAAGTCACGACTTAACCAGTGGATTATGTACCATTACACAAACACCAGGTCTAATGCTTATAAATGACCCACTACTGATAACCATTTTAAAACATATGGTCATTATAAAAAACAACCTCTACTGGAGTTACCTAGAAATAACTTCTCTGTATAGAGCGCAGCACTAGTTTGTAGTGTGAAACAGGCGTCAGAAAGTCAATGGCAGACATGAGGAAACTGCAGTAAGAAGTGCTTTATTCTGAATGAGCTTTAGTGCTTCTTCACGCTGGAGCCTTTAACGTTGAGCTCATGGTAATGGCTTTGATTTTCTGCAGCTGCTTTGGCATTTCTGTGAACACATAACAGTAAAGAAACATTTTTATATTAAACAGGACAAATCGCATTTCAGTGCAACCCTAGATTCTCTTTCAGATGTGACCTTTAACATTATGGTGTCATGTAACATGGCTGTGCATGTATCAGCTGGTTAGTTCAGCTATTTAAGGAACATTAACTACTGGCAAACGTTCTGCCATCCTGCAGTTCAGCATAGTGATGCGAGACACCCGCCCTTCATGAACCTCACACCACCAACATTATAACATACATTATAACATTGTTTAACCCGAAAACTTGTTTGTTTTCAATTTTTAAAGGAGATTTTGAAGTCTTGGACAAATCCTTTTGGCTAATCGTCCAAGGTTAGTTATTTAATATTAGTAAGTTATCTAAAAGCCACTCATTACTGTTACTGTCTTATCAAGATATCCTAACAGAAAGTCAAAAAGAAAGCAAGACTGCAGATAAAACAGCATCGCTTCAATAAACACGCAGTAGTTGTGTCACTCTGTTTATTACTGTTATGAACTTTTCTCGGATTAAAGGAATTTTCTCACCCAAAAACTATAATCACTGGCTTCCTGCAACAGTTGTACGTGTCTCTCTCGTGAACGCGAGTACGGCTGTTGTCTGAAGCCAGTGATTAAAGTTGTATATATGGACACTTTTCTTCGCTTCAGAAGGCCTTTATTAACCCCTGGAGTTGTATGGATTACTGTTATGATGGACAGATGCGCAGTTACCATTCACTGCCCTTATAAAGCTTGAAAGAGCAAGGATATTTTTTAATATAACTCCAATTGTATTCGTCTGAGAGAAGAAAGTCATATACACCTAGGATGGCTTGAGGGTGAGTAAATCATGGGCTAATTGTCATTTTTGTGCGAACTATCCCTTTAAAATGCCTCCAGATTAAACACACACAGTTCACCTGATATGAAATGGCAGCAGCATCATAAGTGTGTGTCATGTGTGCCCCTGTCTCTGACCTGCGTGTCTCCTGTGGTCCTGTGATGGCTGCTCGGTGCACGGCTCGATGTCTCGGGGCTTCCAGGCGTGACATGGGCGCAGAAACATGGAATCTGGACACCTCACGCTGCCATTCATCATCAAAGGACTGGGCCTCCGCTGAAGAGACCAAACACAAGGCCAGCGTCACAAACAAGTGTCGCAGGAGCTAATGGCCCTGATATACTTCACAGCTAAATCAATCAACTGGTGTGACGTCGTTTTGAACACAATCAGGCCGAAAGGCAGTGTGTTTGGAGCTCGTTTCTGGAGCACTTTGGGAAAACAAATATCCATTTGGGCTTGTTTGTCAGTTGTCTGTAAGGTGAAAATCTGATTTCTTGGAAATGCCATTTTGGCATAATACTTTTTAGGTGTAAGGATTTATTCAAATCATTTATGCCAAGTATAAGTAAAGTGAATATTTTTCTTGACATTTTATTTTAAACAGATTTTTTCTGAGCATTTGCTTAAGAGTATAAAAGAACATGCATTGAATGTGTTTGTCACTGCTTGCTTATCCTTCTTTCCATGTTTACTTCACCAGAGAAACTTTGTCACTTGTTTGTCTCTTTAAATCAGTCCTCACTTTCATCCATGTTCTGGAAGTCCTGGTTGAGTTCTTTCTCCCCGGTTTTCCTGTTCTCTTTCCTCTCGATGACGTGGCCTCTGTCCTGAATGTGATGGCCAATGGACATCTTTTCTTGTCCACTCTCCGAGTCCTTCAGACTCTTCCTGGTCTCCTTTAACTGAAAACACCATACATGACTTCCTAATGTTGCTCAACAGGTGTGTTTGGGTGTTTGAGAGTGATTGAGAGCAGTACTCACTCCTCCGGGAGCACAGCGGGTCTGAGACGAGGCCTGGAACACTTTTGGGGCCTCGTTTCCCATTTTAGAGTATGTCATGACAGAGGAGGAGGAAAACGAGTGGCTGTTGGAGTCTGACGCCATGTTTTCCTGAAAGAAACAGTTACAAAAACATCTGAGAAACTATCTACCAATAACTGCAGGACACTGAATTCAGTCTAGTATTCATGCGTGACTGATTCATCAGTGTAATTACTGACCAGGTGTTCGTATGTGTGGTGAAAGAGACATATGAACGACAAAATAACATTTTTATTTGAAATTTTATGAAAATATGATATAAAAAAGAATAGTTTCTATTTAAATCATAAATCACTTTTTTAATGTCACATGTGCCATGGTGAGTGAAAGTCTTGAGAGCATACAGAATACAATTAGACATACATATATACACAATATACATAATAAATATACAAAAGGTTTAGACAATACACAATTTTACACATAATACATCTGCAGATGTGCAGTGATAAGTAGGTGATGGCAGAGTTGATTAATGTGTTAAAGTGCAGTGATTGCAGCATTAGAGTCCAGTTTGGTTGAAATAGTGCTGATGGAGTATAAAGGAATCCTATATTATGCCATTTTATGAAGTCTTGAATTTGTTTTTGGGGTGTACTAGAAAATGCTTACACATTATTTTTCACATATTTTGCATTATTACAGAACTTCTCTCCCCTGTCTGTCGCGAACGTGCTCTCTAGTTCCTGTTTCGATGAAGCCCCTCCTTCCGAAATACGAAAAAGTGCTGTGATTGGTTAGCTGGCCCAGTGTGTTGTAATTGGCAGCGCTTCGCGTGTGATCACGAATCTGTTTCATCGGCTCAGGTGTAAAAATTAAGGATGGCTTCAATTTCAAACCATTTCGAGCCTGATTCAGACCCTGACAATGTTAAGTAACAAAAGCATTGTGCTTAACGGATTTCATGCACGGACTTTGCAAGCACGGATTTCACAGGACGTTTCAGAGTGGGATGTTTTTTGTTGTAATTTTCTTATAGATTTTAGATACAATGTTATGATATTTGTCGGGAAACTATGGTAATACAAAGAGTAATCGATCACAAAATCATGGATAATTTTCCTAAGGGGCAGTGAACAGTCTTACAAAACCAAGAGTTAACAAAAGCTACAGTAAACACTACATCAATACTGTATTGTTAGTTAGCAGGCTAGCGGAGACAAAGCTTTGCCCTTCGTCTACACCATAGAAACAACATAAAACTTATAATTGGAACTTAATAGAAAACACAACTACAAATAATAAGACATACATACTTAGGTTGTGATCCAAAAACCTGGCCGCCACACCAGAGTCTCGTCACGTTTGAATTTTACTTTGTAACATGTTAAATATGAATATTTTTCTTACACAAACTCATCGTTTTGCTTCATAAGGCCTTTATTAACCCCCCGGAGTTTGGAGTTTGTTTATGATGGATGACGAACCACTCTAAGTTCGTCAGCCATAGGAAGGTCAAACTAATTTGTTTTTGAAGCCATTATCCATGCCTTTCCGAATGAGGAATTCAGCTTGAGGATCATCCGTAATACTCAGGACTAATTATTCTTCAAAAGTAATGGAGTTTTTAATGAATCAGGATAACTGAATTGCCTACAATTCCCATTCGTACTGTTACTATGAAAATCAGCTCATTATAAAAACCCATTTTAAAAGAGCAGCATGTTTCCACGACCTTGCATGTGTTCAGTTTATTAAGTTGAAACGGTGGCAGAAGGTGCATATAAACTCGCTGACACTGTGGTTCATAGAGCATTGAAGAGATGCTGGTACAATATGAGAACAGAGAGGTCAGACTTACAAAGTTTCTGTGCATCGCCTCCATCCTGTTCCTCATGCTGTCTATCATAGAGAAAGGATTGCCAAAGAAATCCAGCTCCTGTTGACATTCATCACACACATTTAGTGACACAGCAAAGAACAGATTCAACTACTGCCATCTAGACAGCAGTTATTCAAAGGAAATATACTTGAGTTTGTATCATCACTTAATTTCCCTACATTGTCCTTAAATCACAAATGTTATTTAAACTACGTTGTATAATAACTTGTATTGAGAGTTAAAATATTACACTAAAAGCTAACTGTGTGAAGCTGTGACGTTCACTGGCCTGTGTGAAGTTGCATGAAGTTGTGCTGTCGGACATGAAATGCATTAGCAACTTCTTCTTCTGTCATGTGATATATTTCCAAGTGAAACAAGAAAGAAATTGGATGGTGGGGAAAAAGATGCTTCGTCTCGTCACGTAATGGCCACACGCCAGACCCTCTTTACGTCATGACCGCCACGTCAGTGTCTCGTCACGTAATGGCCACACGCCAGACTCTCTTTACGCCATGACCGCCACGTCAGTGTCTCGTCACGTAATGGCCACATGCCAGACTCTCTTTACGCCATGACCGCCACGTCAGAGTCTCGTCACTCTCTTTACGCCATGACCGCCACGTCAGAGTCTCGTCACGTAATGGCCACACGCCAGACTCTCTTTACGCCATGACCGCCACGTCAGTGTCTCACCACGTCATGACCGCCACGTCAGAGTCTCGTCACGTAATGGCCACACGCCAGACTCTCTTTACGCCATGACTGCCACGTCAGAGTCTCGTCACGTAATGGCCACACGCCAGACTCTCTTTACATCATGGCCGCCACGTCAGAGTCTCGTCACGTAATGGCCACACGCCGGACTCTCTTTACATCATGGCCGCCACGTCAGAGTCTCGTCACGTAATGGCCACACGCCTGACTCTCTTTACATCATGGCCGCCACGTCAGAGTCTCGTCACGTAATGGCCACACGCCAGACTCTCTTTACATCATGGCCGCCACATCAGTGTCTCGTCACGTAATGGCCACACGCCAGACTCTCTTTACGTCATGACCGCCATGTCAGAGTCTCGTCACGTAATGGCCACACGCCAGACTCTCTTTACGCCATGACCGCCACGTCAGAGTCTCGTCACGTAATGGCCACACGCCAGACTCTCTTTACATCATGGCCGCCACGTCAGAGTCTCGTCACGTAATGCCACACGCCAGACTCTCTTTACATCATGGCCGCCACGTCAGAGTCTCGTCACGTAATGGCCACACGCCAGACTCTCTTTACATCATGGCCGCAACGTCAGAGTCTCGTCACATAATGGCCACACGCCAGACTCTCTTTACATCATGGCCACACGCCAGACTCTCTTTACGCCATGACCGCCACGTCAGAGTCTCGTCACATAATGGCCACATGCCAGAGCCTCTTTACGCCATGACCGCCACGTCAGTGTCTCACCACGTCATGACCGCCACGTCAGAGTCTCGTCACTTAATGGCCACACGCCAGACTCTCTTTACGCCATGACCGCCACGTCAGAGTCTCGTCACGTAATGGCCACACGCCAGACTCTCTTTACATCATGGCCACACGCCAGACTCTCTTTACGCCATGACCGCCACGTCAGAGTCTCGTCACATAATGGCCACATGCCACAGCCTCTTTACGCCATGACCGCCACGTCAGTGTCTCACCACGTCATGACCGCCACGTCAGAGTCTCGTCACGTAATGGCCACACGCCAGACTCTCTTTACGTCATGACCGCCATGTCAGAGTCTCGTCACGTAATGGCCACACGCCAGACTCTCTTTACGTCATGACCGCCACGTCAGAGTCTCGTCACGTAATGGCCACACACCAGACTCTCTTTACATCATGGCCGCCATGTCAGAGTCTCGTCACGTAATGGCCACACGCCAGACTCTCTTTACATCATGGCCACACGCCAGACTCTCTTTACGTCATGACCGCCACGTCAGAGTCTCGTCACGTCATGGCCACACGCCAGACTCTCTTTACATCATGGCCGCCACATCAGTGTCTCGTCACGTCATGGCCACACGCCAGACTCTCTTTACGTCATGACCGCCACGTCAGAGTCTCGTCACGTAATGGCCACACGCCAGACTCTCTTTACGTCATGACCGCCACGTCAGAGTCTCGTCACGTAATGGCCACACGCCAGACTCTCTTTACATCATGGCCACACGCCAGACTCTCTTTACGTCATGACCGCCACGTCAGAGTCTCGTCACGTAATGGCTACACGCCAGACTCTCTTTACATCATGGCCACACGCCAGACTCTCTTTACGTCATGACCGCCACGTCAGAGTCTCGTCACGTAATGGCCACACGCCAGACTCTCTTTACATCATGACCGCCACGTCAGAGTCTCGTCACGTCATGGCCAAACGCCAGACTCTCTTTACATCATGGCCGCCACGTCAGAGTCTCGTCACGTAATGGCCACACGCCAGACTCTCTTTACATCATGGCCGCCACGTCAGTGTCTCGTCACGTCATGGCCACACGCCAGAATCTCTTTAGATCATGGCCGCCACGTCAGAGTCTTGTCACGTAATGGCCACACGCCAGACTCTCTTTACGTCATGGCCACACGCCAGACTCTCTTTACGTCATGGCCACACGTCAGAGTCTCGTCACGTCATGGCCACACGTCAGAGTCTTGTCACGTCATGGCCACACGTCAGAGTCTCGTCACGTCATGGCCACACGTCAGAGTCTCGTCACGTCATGGCCACACGCCAGACTCTCTTTACGTCATGGCCGCCACATCAGTGTCTCGTCACGTCATGGCCACACGTCAGAGTCTCATCACGTCATGGCCACACGTCAGAGTCTCGTCACGTCATGGCCACACGTCAGAGTCTCGTCACGTCATGGCCACACGCCAGACTCTCTTTACATCATGGCTGCCACGTCAGTGTCTCGTCACGTCATGGCCACACGCCAGAATCTCTTTAGATCATGGCCGCCACGTCAGAGTCTTGTCACGTAATGGCCACACGCCAGACTCTCTTTACGTCATGGCCACACGCCAGACTCTCTTTACGTCATGGCCGCCACATCAGTGTCTCGTCACGTCATGGCCACACGTCAGAGTCTCGTCACGTCATGGCCACACGTCAGAGTCTCGTCACGTCATGGCCACACGTCAGAGTCTTGTCACGTCATGGCCACACGTCAGAGTCTCGTCACGTCATGGCCACACGTCAGAGTCTCGTCACGTCATGGCCACACGCCAGACTCTCTTTACATCATGGCCGCCACGTCAGAGTCTCGTCACGTAATGGCCACACGCCAGACTCTCTTTACATCATGGCCACACGCCAGACTCTCTTTACGTCATGACCGCCACGTCAGAGTCTCGTCACGTCATGGCCACACGCCAGACTCTCTTTACATCATGGCCGCCACATCAGTGTCTCGTCACGTCATGGCCACACGCCAGACTCTCTTTACGTCATGACCGCCACGTCAGAGTCTCGTCACGTAATGGCCACACGCCAGACTCTCTTTACGTCATGACCGCCACGTCAGAGTCTCGTCACGTAATGGCCACACGCCAGACTCTCTTTACATCATGGCCACACGCCAGACTCTCTTTACGTCATGACCGCCACGTCAGAGTCTCGTCACGTAATGGCTACACGCCAGACTCTCTTTACATCATGGCCACACGCCAGACTCTCTTTACGTCATGACCGCCACGTCAGAGTCTCGTCACGTAATGGCTACATGCCAGACTCTCTTTACATCATGGCCACACGCCAGACTCTCTTTACGTCATGACCGCCACGTCAGAGTCTCGTCACGTAATGGCCACACGCCAGACTCTCTTTACATCATGACCGCCACGTCAGAGTCTCGTCACGTCATGGCCAAACGCCAGACTCTCTTTACATCATGGCCGCCACGTCAGAGTCTCGTCACGTAATGGCCACACGCCAGACTCTCTTTACATCATGGCCGCCACGTCAGTGTCTCGTCACGTCATGGCCACACGCCAGAATCTCTTTAGATCATGGCCGCCACGTCAGAGTCTTGTCACGTAATGGCCACACGCCAGACTCTCTTTACGTCATGGCCACACGCCAGACTCTCTTTACGTCATGGCCGCCACATCAGTGTCTCGTCACGTCATGGCCACACGTCAGAGTCTCGTCACGTCATGGCCACACGTCAGAGTCTCGTCACGTCATGGCCACACGTCAGAGTCTCGTCACGTCATGGCCACACGCCAGACTCTCTTTACGTCATGGCCGCCACATCAGTGTCTCGTCACGTCATGGCCACACGTCAGAGTCTCGTCACGTCATGGCCACACGTCAGAGTCTCGTCACGTCATGGCCACACGTCAGAGTCTCGTCACGTCATGGCCACACGCCAGACTCTCTTTACATCATGGCCGCCACGTCAGTGTCTCGTCACGTCATGGCCACACGCCAGAATCTCTTTAGATCATGGCCGCCACGTCAGAGTCTTGTCACGTAATGGCCACACGCCAGACTCTCTTTACGTCATGGCCACACGCCAGACTCTCTTTACGTCATGGCCGCCACATCAGTGTCTCGTCACGTCATGGCCACACGTCAGAGTCTCGTCACGTCATGGCCACACGTCAGAGTCTCGTCACGTCATGGCCACACGTCAGAGTCTCGTCACGTCATGGCCACACGCCAGACTCTCTTTACATCATGGCCGCCACGTCAGAGTCTTGTTACGTAATGGCCACACGCCAGACTCTCTTTACATCATGGCCGCCACGTCAGTGTCTCGTCACGTCATGGCCACACACCAGACTCTCTTTACATCATGGCCGCCACGTCAGAGTCTTGTCACGTAATGGCCACACGCCAGACTCTCTTTACGTCATGGCCGCCACATCAGTGTCTCGTCACGTCATGGCCACACGCCAGACTCTCTTTACATCATGGCCGCCACGTCAGAGTCTCGTCACGTAATGGCTACATGCCAGACTCTCTTTACATCATGGCCACACGCCAGACTCTCTTTACGTCATGACCG